TTAGGTATATATCCAGAAGACCAAAAATCGAATTACAACAAAGATATTTGTATCAGAATGTTTATTGTAGCCCAATTCATAATTGCTAGGTCATGGAAGAAGTCCAAATGCCCATCGACCCACGAATGGATCAATAAATTGTGGTATATGTACATCATGGAATACCATGCAGCCCTAAAGAAAGATGGAGACTTTACCTCCTTCATGTTTATATGTACAGAATTAGAAAATGTTCTTCTTAGCAAAGTATCTCAAGAATGGAAGAAAAAAGTATCCAATGTACACAGCCCTATTTTGAAAATAATTCATAGCTTTTACAGGAATGTCATTTTTCTGATTTTATGGACTCTACTCTGGCCTCCATAATGCCAGAAATTACCTCTTGAGCACCCGCCTTTTCCCATGAGAGAGACATGACAAGCAAACAACAGTTGCCATCTAGTAAGCGCCTCCTTCACACCTCTGTATTCTCTCTATTCTTCTCAACTACTCAGAAAAGTAACTATTACTATGCCAAATTTCCAAAGGAAGAAATATGTGTCACCTTGCTCAGTTTCGTGAAAGCAGTGGCAGAGATCTGAATCCAGAGCTGTGTGTCTCTGGTCTCCATCACACTCAGCAGGCCCCCCAAATCACCTTATCCAGGATGTGTCTGCAGCAAGGCAAGTGCTGGGTGGGAGGTGGTGGGCTCCAACCTCTCCAGCTGCAGGTGCTCATCTGCTGAGGCCTAGGAAGAGCTGGGTATCAGCTGTGTACGTAAGAGCAGCACAGTCCGAGAAAACTGTGGACTCAGTGTCAGCTCCCTATTTTAGAACAGATATCAACCTCTACCTGATGTGTTCTTATTCATTTGTCACTAAAAAGTGGCCTCACTATTTCCAAAATTCACTTCCTAGGAAGATGGTTATCTTTGCCTACCTCTACACTCCAATTACCAGAGATTTCTATCTGGAGAGAACTGTCTAGTAAGATACAGCAAGGACATAGCTGTAGGGGCAGGAGTCCAGAGCCTGGAAGAGATGAGCTGAGGCTAAAGTCTGATGCTAAGCCAGACTTCCAAAAGAAACCAGATAAAGGCCCAAGTCTTGTCCTCTCCTCTTCTGACATCATGTCCTTTACTACTCATTCCACCACCTTCTCCAACAATTACTGGTCCCTGGCCTCAGGCGCCCAGCTACAGTGTCTAGCCCACCAGCAGCACAGCCAGCATCTATGCAGGCACTGGGGGCTCAGGCTCCCGGATCTCCATGTCCTGCTCCACCAGCTTCCGGGGCGGCTAGGGGTCCAGGGGCCTGGCCACGGGGATGGCCGGGGGTCTGGTGGGAATAGGGGGCATCCAGACCAAGAAGGAGACCATGCAAGAACTGAACGACTGCCTGGCCTCCTACCTGGACAGAGTGAGGAACCTGGAGACCAATAATCAGAGGCTGGAGAGCAAAATCTGGGAACACCTGGAGAAGAAGAGGCCCCAGGTCAGAGACTGGGCACATTACTTCAAGACCATTGAGGACCTGAGGGCTCAGATCTTTGCCAATTCTGTGGACAATGCCAACATCGTTCTGCAGATTGACAATGCCCATCTTGCTGCTGATGACTTTAGAATCAAGTATGAGATAGAACTGGGCATGTGCCAATCTGTGGAGAGTGACATCCATGGGCTCCGCAAGGTCATTGATGACACCGATATCACTCGATTGCAGCTGGAGTCAGAGATGGAGGCTCTCAAGGAGGAGCTGCTCTTCATGAAGAAGAACCATGAGGAGGAAGTAAAAGTCCTACAAGCCCAGATTGCAGCTCTGGGTTGACTGTGGAGGTAGATGCTCCCACATCCCAGGACCTGAGCAAGATCATGGCAGACTGAGGGCCCAGTATGACGAGCTGCCTTGGAAGAACCAAGAAGAACTGGCCAAGACCTGGTCCCAGCAGACTGAGGAGAGCACCTCAGTGGTCACCTCACAGTTTGCTGAGGTCGGAGCTGCTAAGACAATACTCACACAGCTGATGTGTACAGTCCAGTCCTTGGAGATTGAACTGGACTCCATGAGAAATCAGAAGTCCAGGTTGGAGGACAGCCTGAGGGAGGTGTAGGCCCGCTACGCCATGCAGATGGAGCAACTCAATGGAGTCTTGCTGCACTTGGAGTCAGAGCTGGCACAGACCCGGGCAGAGGGGCAGCGCCAGGCCCAGGAGTATGAGGCACTGCTGAACATCAAGGTCAAGCTAGAGGCTGAGATCGCCACCTACCGCCGTCTGCTGGAAGATGGGGAGGACTTCAACCTTGGTGATGCCCTGGACAGCAGCAACTCCATGCAAACCATCCAAAAAAACACCACCTGCAGGATAGTGGATGGCAAAGTGGTGTCTGAGACCAACGACACCAAAGTTCTGAGACACTGAGGCAGTAGAGCAGCATGTCCTTATACCAATAAAGAGTTCAGAGGTCACTGGAAAAAAAAAAGAAACCAGATAAATAAATCCTTAATGGATATAGGCCAAGCCCTATGGACTTGAATTTGGTGGGAGTGTGGTAGTGGTAGGCTGAAGAATAGCCCCAAAGATAGCCACATCCCAATCCCTGGAGCCTGTAATGTTACCTTATGTAGAGAAAGAGTCTTTGCCAATGTGATTAAGATAAAGGTTTTGAGATGGAGAGATTATCTTGGATCATCCAGGTGCTCCCTAAATGCCATCACAAGTGTCCCTATGAGAGAGGCCAACTCGGTGCACACAGAGAAGAAGGCGATGTGAAGATGGAGCAGAGATTTGAAGACCCTGACCTTAAAGATCAGAGGGATGTGGTCACAAGCTGTACTATGCTGCAGCCACTAGAAACAGTAAAAGGCACAGAAAGGAAGTATTCCATGTGGCCTCTGGAGGGACGTGGCCCAGCTAACATGATTTCAGCCTAGTGATACTGATTTTGGAAGTCCAGCCTTCTAAGAGACTAAATTTCTGTTGTTGAAAGTCACCAAGTTGGGGTAATTTGCCATAGCAGCCACAGGAAACTAAGACAGGCAGTTTGCTGCAAATGTGATATAAAAGCCATGGATGGGCAAAGGAGAGCCCCCACCAGGTCACAGAAAGCTCAAGCTTGGAAAACTGTGTGATTAGGGTTTCTGTGGGGTGTGTGGTGAAGGAGTTTTTGGAAAGACACAGATATGTCACTCTCTAAGGAAGTATACAGTCAGGATGGCAAGTTGAGATATATACATATTGGCAGAACGAGGCTGTTGACCAGCTGCCAGGGTTACAGACCTCTTGCCCGGGACCTTGACTCCCAACTGCTGTCCACATGGTCCCTTCCTTCCTTGGGGCCTTATGCTTAACTGGCATCTCTTCATCTCTTGGCTCTGAGAGCAGCAGTTAGGATGAAATAGATGATACTCTTTTCTCTTGCAATGCTGCTTACCCTGAACACATACATGGAGCTTGTTGATACAGAGAAATTTTTAAAGTGGGCAATTAGATAACCTCCCTCCCACAAAATGAGAAATGAAGCCCTGGCAGTCCAAATGGAAGTGCCAAGTGCCACAGACAGGAGCGGGGCTGCCAGATAGTCATATGTGGCCCAACTGTGCAAACGTGACGTCTGGTGCCCGACTTTCCTTGGTGAGCTGGTGATCTCATCTGCAGCTGCCATCGCTCCTGGTCTACAGTTGTGTTTCAAAGGCTGAAAACAACCCATCCTATTCCCCAGCTCCTGCCATTGTGTTGGAAACAATCCCTTCCAAACGATCTGAAGCATATACTTCAGGAAGAAGAACAAAGCGTGAACAATTTGACAACTCTTTCTGAATCTTTGTCATGTAGTAGTTTTTTTTTTTTTCTTTTTCTTTCTTTCTTTTTTTGCTTTAAGCTACTTTTCCCCTGGCTGGTATCTA